AAAGTGAGATCTCTTTAACATCTCAAATATTTCTCCTAGACAGAAATGAGGTTATTTTAAGATTGAATGAAGATTTCCTGCTTCTCAAACTTGTCTCCTGAGACAAAAACTCTAACACTCTCACATTTGTCTCTAAAGTTTTAGAAGAGATCTCATCATCATTACACACTGTGCTCAGATGTTTCTCCTAAGCTGGAAACTCTGATGCTCACACATTTCTCAACAACTTTACAAAGTGTGCACCAAGTCAAATGTCTCAATATGAGCTCAAACTTTTCAACCATATAATATGTATTAATAATCAAATTGGTCAATTAATAATCAAGTCATAAGCCATTTATGTACCTTTCAGCAAAGAAATCTCAAGGGTTACTTTTTCTGCAAATCAGTTTTGACAAAGGCATCGGGTACATTACTATTTCCAATTAACAAATTATATGCTGTAGCGAATCAGCTCAAAGGGGACATATTAATAATTAATTATAAGTAGTTATAATTAATGATAAATATTTAGATCCGCTGTAAGTATTTACTTGACATCTCAGTGTCAACGGTCTGTCAATTCTAAGAATGTTAATTTCCTGGTTAAGGAAAATAACTTGCTTACTGTACAATAGTACTCAGAGCATGTAGCAAAAATCTGCATGATTAGGGACTCCAGTTATGAGCAAACAATGAACAACCTCAAGTGTGATACAAGTAAGACTTTATTAACTACATAAACACTTAAACTAGTCTAACATACACACACACACAGACGCATACAGTTGGCATAGGAAAAGGGGTTAAAGCTTAAGCAGTAAAGAGAAGATAAATAAAGACATGAAGCTATGGTACAATTTGATATTCAGCAGATCTACAGCCTGAAGGAAACATCAGTTTCTTAGTTCAAACACACCTTTGTAAAAAGATGCAAATGATACGTAATGTATCAATTAATAAGACTAAGTTTGATACTTGCATGTCTTGTCTGTCTGAAAGAGAGTCCTGATGCAATCTGAAGGCTCAAGTTGATCTTTGCTGAAGTTGGTTGATGAAAAAGAACCAGTTTGAGTCAGAGGATCTTGAAGTGGAAAGACAAGGCCGAAGCCTGGCGCAGACTTAAGGGTTGCAGAAGAGTTTCTAGCTCACATCCTTATCTTCTCAGAAACTAACAGGACTGCAGGCTGAAGGGCTATGTGTTGGAGCCCACCGGGCACGTCCACACCAGCTCAGGCTCTCCACACAGGCAGCAATCAGCAGATTTAGCAGCATACCTGAGCGGAACTGTGCGTGAGCCCTTTAAAGTCTGATACGAGTCACGCCTCTCAGGATGGGCTTGTCCAATGAGAAAGGCTGAATTTCCAAGCGGGAGGTTGGAAATACTGGGGGTTTTACGACCCTTTGTCTGAGAGCATGGTAATAAGCTTATGGAACTGGATTGGATGTTGATATGCAAACTATTAAAGATTCTTAGAACACTAACATGTTGCATAGGTATCCACATATTATGTACACTCTCAATTAGATCATCCGAAGATGAATTCATAGAGGCCAAACATGGTATAGGTGAGTTTACATTAACTAGTGATCTGTCACATGCATGCATTAAAACAGTATACAATACACAATACCATATACAAGGAGGTAGTAATCATACACAAAGACCTGGGGATATGCATGATAGGAAAGTCATAGAAAAATTTGTCTATGAATTAATGAAAGAAGTAATTTCCTATAGCAGTATGTGTCTGTTTTAGAGAGATTTGAGTAGGGAGGAAGATTCTCTTTACATGATTTTAGGTCGTAAAATTGATCTGGTCTGGCTGAGGTGTCCTGGTTGCCATGGTAACCAGGGGCCTGGGATCGTTCACAGACATGCTGGCACCCAGTATGTTTATTGGGTGAGGGGTTAGTGATTATTTGTTAATCTAATGAATAATTGATTTGTTAAATCTAATTAAAAAGTGTGTCTGATTGGTCCAAAAGCTACATACTTAAGCACATAAACATTATCCTATAAAAAGTAACATTATCTTTATTTCTGCATAATTTCTCTTAGTATAGGCTTAAACCCTGTATTTATGTTTTTCCCCCCTTTGTTGAGATATTTTATAAAGCTTTATGTGAGACAAATATGAGACCCCCAGAGACTTTAGCTTAAGACAAACCAGAGCACAATGTGTGATTTTATTTTATTATTATTCCTTTATTTAGCCAGGAAATCACATTGAGATATTGATATCTCTTCTGAGATTAGAGATATCAGATGTGATGCTATTGAGATCTCTTCAAAACTTTTGAGAAGACAAATGTGAGAGCTCCAGAGTCTCCAGCTAAGGAGAAATATCTGAGTACAGTGTGTGATGTTACTGAGATCTTGTTTGAAACATTGGAGGAGACAAATATGAGACCACAAGAGTCTTTAGTTTAGGAGAGAAATCTGAGCACAATGTGTGATGATGATGATGAGGTTTCTTCTAAAACTTTAAACAAGACCATTGTGAAAGTGTTAGGCTGATGATACACGGGGCAACTTTTTGAGCAATGTTGCTTGGGTACTTTCCTATTGAGAATGGCTAACAAATTTCTATTTGGATACATTAGATCTTCATTGATGTCAACAATATGAAGCATTTGCTAATTGTTTTTTTTGCAGATTGTAGGTTCAGATCTACTCCATGCAAAACTCCTTATGTTCTCTGTGTTCAGTTTCCCATTACAGTTTTCAGATGATTTAGTGCATGCAGTGAACTGAACAAATCATTCAAACTGATTCACTAACCAATTCATATTTACGTCAATGAACGAATTATCATTTAACATTTATAACGGAAATAAACAATTATTAATTTAGTCTCATGTTGAACAAATTTTGAAATTGTGATAAGAATTAAATATTGGAAACATGATGAGTGTAAAAGATGAAAGCAGGTCGATCCAGAATTACAGGTGTAACGTTCACTGACCCTATTGAGAATGGCTAACAAATTTCTATTTGGATACTTTAGATCTTCATTGATGTCAACAATATGAAGCATTTGCTAATTGTTTTTTTTGCAGATTGTAGGTTCAGATATACTCCATGCAACACTCCTTATGTTCTCTGTGTTCAGTTTCCCATTACAGTTTTCAGATGATTTAGTGCATGCAGTGAACTGAACGAATCATTCAAACTGATTCACTAACCAATTCATATTTACGTCAATGAACGAATTATCATTTAACATTTATAACGGAAATAAACAATTATTAATTTAGTCTCATGTTGAACAAATTTTGAAATTGTGATAAGAATTAAATATTGGAAACATGATGAGTGTAAAAGATGAAAGCAGGTCGATCCAGATCTACAGGTGTAACGTTCACTGACTATTGAACGGTAAGATCCTCAGAGGGTAACAACAGAATAATGGAAATAGTATGTCAGTGAAGATGGTTGTGAATGTGTGTAGATGTGTGTTAGTTACAGGATCAGAGAAGGACACCGTTCCTCTGTCATAGTCCAGATCAACTCTCACACGTTAATTTAGTCTCATGTTGAACAAATTTTGAAATTGTGATAAGAATTAAATATTGGAAACATGATGAGTGTAAAAGATGAAAGCAGGTCGATCCAGAATTACAGGTGTAACATTTACTGACTATTGGACGGTAAGATCCTCAGAGGGTAACAACAGAATAATGGAAATAGTATGTCAGTGAAGATGGTTGTGAATGTGTGTAGATGTGTGTTAGTTACAGGATCAGAGAAGGACACCGTTCCTCTGTCATAGTCCAGATCAACTCTCACACGCTCAAGCTTCTGTTTAACAGGAAAACCAGCCCGTTCAGAACATCTGTGCTCTACACTCCAGACATCAGTGTCAAAGAAAACATG